AACTTTTCAAGAGCTACAAGTAACAAGACGATGTGGAGAACCATGATCACCGACATTCTAAAGGCACATAAAAAAAGAAGTAAGCATCCGCTTTAGAGATGGGAAAATGTTGATTTTTATTCGAGAAAAGACTGTCATTGAAAAACTGAAGTCTTGTTATATTAGATCAATATAATTGTTGTTATATCATATCAATATAATTGAAGTCTTGTTATATCAATATAATTGAAGTCGTTTTATATCATATGAATATAATTGAAGTCTTGTTATATTATATCAATATAATTGTTTTTATATTATATCAATATAATTGAAATCTTGTTATATCATATCAATATAATTGAAGTCTTGTTATATTATATCAATATAATTGAAGTCATGTTATAATATGATATTATATCATCAGGAATATTATAATATTATCGCTGGTAACAGTACGATTTGCATTCACCTCTGTGTATGATTTGTTTCTGTTTTTAAGTTATTTTCACTACTGATCTTAAGAACGGTGGCATATATCTGATAGCTTGCATGTTTCTGATGGCTTAAACCATTTTTTTTTTACCTATGGACCCCTTTGATTCTTATGTGAGTTTCTTGTTCTCTCATAGCCATTCGATGTTTTAAAAATTCTATTGTACTGATGGAGTAATGGATAGCGGCTCGGATTGAGGAATCGGAGAGCTGAGTTCGAATTTCAGTCGAATCTGCTGCATTCACTTTCGTGCTAATAACATTTGGAAAGTTATGAATCCTTTTCTTCTTCTCCCTCCAGCTATGGGTATATAGTAGGACAGACCGGGTTCTATAGCCTTGGATGGCAACTACTCTACTGCAGAAAGAAATGGCAACCTACTGCGGGAAAAATCTGCCTCGTCAGTTATGTATCGAAAGATACGTGATCGCCTACGCTTATATTACGCATGGCATATAACTGACAAATTGTACTTTCAAAATTAAATATTACTAAACAAATCCCCGTTTTACGAAAATTTCTATTCGCCATCGTCGGCTTTATCTCGTATCCAAGAATTTAATTTTGCATCCTTTATGATAATGGCGTTGATGTTAAATTCGCCGCTAACGTACAGCTTCGGGACTAGAAACTTCCAGTTTCACCAATACTTGCCCCCGTCAGCCATTCCTTAAAACCGTTATGCTTCGCAAGAGTTGGTTGGAAGTGAAAGAAAAATCAGAGTAGATGTAAGTGTCGATACTCTGAATTTGTTTAAGGTGAACCTCACTTGCCAAGAAGTAACCCACACACTTGATTTCATGATTTTCCATATAGAACGAAACATGCGCTAACCAGTTATAAAACTGCAAAGGACTGTCACTGACACTTAGAATTTCAAGTAACGCCTTCTGGAATATGTCCGTCATGCGTAGCCCTCTTCAACCGTTGAGATCTATTGGAATCATCATCCGCTTGTTCCACCGTTGAGAGTTTTAGGTTTGGTCGCACTTAGTCTGGGTTTTAGCCTTCGAGGTTACTAACAAGGCAGAAGTAAATGGTAGTGTCTTCATCGTAGATGCCAAGTTGAAAGCCGATGACATCGGGAAGGTCGTTAATGAAGATTAAAAACAGCGTAGGACCAAAGATGGAACCCTGGGGGACACCCGAGTTAGTAAAAAAAAAAAGGATGTAGACGAGTAGCAGTTCAGGGCAACTTTCATTTCGGCATTTCATAAGTACGTTTGGATCAGCTCAAAAACGTGTCCGGACATACCGTAACTTTTCAACTTGTGGAGAAGACCTGAATGTCATCCCCGTGAAAGGCTTTCAAGATGTTCAATGCTACCGCTCGGGCTTCACCGTTTTTATCTAAAGCACGATAGACTCTTTTCGCAATTGTCGTTAGTACATCAGCAGTTGATCTGAAGAAACGAAAGCCGTATTGCTTCTCTGACAAAAAGGCCCTGTGATGAGAGATGATGAAATTAAGCATTGATTAGTAGGTTCTAAAATGGAGCCTACCATAATGTAAAAAGACCCTAAACTTGATAAAAAACAAAGTTTTATCGCCTAAATGTTTATGTTATTATTAAAAGGAAATACCAAAGTATTTTTTTAATTAATTTATTAAATCTTTTAATCTCGAACGTTCGAAATTTTGTTTAAAAATCTTTTTCTTGCGGCCAAAGATTAGTATAAGAAATTTTACCATTTTTTGCGTTAAAAACTCGTCGTTTTGGGAAATATTGAAAAAAATCAAATAATTGTCTGATTTTAATTAAATTTTTAGGACTTATTCACAAATTAATTAAATTATTTATATATCTATATATCTATATATATATATATATATATATATATGTGTGTGTGTGTGTGTGTGTGTGTGTGTGTGTGTATGTGTGTGTGTGTGTGTGCGTGTATATGTGTGCGTGTGTGTGTGTGTATGTATGAAGAAATATAGTTTTAAGGTGTGCTATATTTATGGGATAAAGTGCTCAATATCAGAGATAGAGCATATGTAAATACAAATATAAAAGTGAACGTTGAAGTCAACACTCAGAGGTGACAGGCTGTTTCATGCTGGACGCAATCGGCCTGAAAAAATTCAAAAACTCAAGTTAAAAACTTCAAATTTAATTATGTAATTAAATTAAAAGCATTAGCTCTGTATCATCTTATGCTCTGTAAATTTACACTGTGCACTAGTTTTTAAAAATAAAAAATATCAATAAGAACACAGGATTATATATCTTATTCTTCTTTCTTTATATATATATATATATATATATATATATATATATATGTTGCCCCAAATTAATTTCACGAAATTTCGAGAAATTAAAATTAGCCTATTTATATTTATATTAGTTAAAATCAGAAGTCTTTGGAGAAAATAAACAATCAATTTGTTTTTACCAAAATGGAACACCATTTACTGAAAATCTTCTCTGAATCGAAAAATAAAAAATGCAATGAAACTACGACATTATTTAATTAGAAAATCTCTTAACTGGTTTTATAAATAAGATTTAATTTAAGGGCACTTAAAAAAATCTTTTTAAAATTCTGAATTAATTTCAGCCTTTTAGTTAATACTAGAAGTAGGACCCGGCGTTGCCCGGGGATGTAACAGTAAGAGATAGATCAAGTATCGACCATCATAAAGACTGAAAAATAAAATTGATAAAGATTATTGTTTAAGGTTCACGGACACGCATGTTCTTATATTTTTTTTCTATGAAATGGTCAAACCCAAACTCAAACAAAAACATTGTTTTCAATCGTTATGAGTCTACCGATTGGATAGAATTTTATTATAAACAATTGTCTTGTAAATGCAATTTTTAAAGTATTCTGAATGTAAAAATAAAGAAAAAATTGTGCAAAACAATAAGAAACACTACCTGCCAAAAAAAGTGAAGTTTTGTTGAAATCGGTTGAAAAATGTAGGAAATCCGATCCCATATATAAATGAACACACAGACACAAACACAAACAATCTGGGTTTTATAATAAGTATAACTTGATATGAGTTGTCCCCCTTTCATTCTCGCGATGCCTCTTAATCGTTTTTTCAAATTGATTTTGTGCAAAAACAATTGTGTTTTTCCAATTTTTGGTACTGTCAGAACCACCGCAAGGTAATTTTACGTAATCCTGTGAAGTTTTGTTGAAATCGGTTGAAAAATGTTGGAAATCCGATCCAATATATAAACGTACACACACACACAACCTGGGTTTTATAAGTATGATTATTATAAAATGAAAACTATATTTACTAATTATAAATAGCTTAATAAAAATCATAAAATACAAATATTTTTAAAATATATTGGATTTTTTGCATGTGTATAAAAGTTCCGATTTTTGTAAGTATGGGCCACTATACTCAACATTATCAAAAATAAGAGCGTTATCTATATTAAATTTAAAGCTAACGTTTCTAAAATTCAATAAAATATTAGATTATGGCGAATATTTTCTTAAATTTTTAAGATTACTGAGAACTTAAAAATTAAATGAAAAGAAGCACTCACATAATTTTCTTCAATTATGTTTTACAGATAAAGTCTCCGTAGACAAACATTAGATCTGTCAGCAGGCATCTGTCATTTTCACAAATTAATTTCAGGTCTTAGCTACCGCGTTTTTGTTAAAGTTCCAACTTATGACTAATTTGGGCACTTTGAATTTATAGGTGTCTGCAGGTAGCGCTTCGGCGTGAAGTAGCGAGTTCAATCCTCACAGGGTGCTCCATACTTTAAGTCTTGAGCCACACCGAAGCTGCGCTGAGTAAATCATTATAGAGCTCTTCAGGCTTACGGACACATTGAAACAGCGGTTCCACTACGATGACCGAAGTTAAGCAACGTCGAACTTAGTTACTACCTCTATGGGTAATCGAATAACAGGTGCTGTAAGCTTGGATGTGCGGGTGGTGTACTGGATAATGGCTTGCAATTGGAAATCTGAGAGCCGAGTTTCAATTCCAGTCGGGTTCGTTATATTCGCTTGCACGCAAATAACCTTTAGAAATGAATGAATCCACCTTTTCGCTCCTTAGCTATGGCTTAATTAGCATATCTTGTATCGGTAAAAAATTATTAATGTATCTCCAAAATTCTTGAAATCTAAAAGTATTTTGTGGATTTAAAAAAAAACCTGGAAAAGCTTGATAAGTCGTAAAAACTATCAATCAATATGGATTTCTACACGTCTGTCCATTGAAACGTTTCTTTCCGATAATAACATTAACAACTAAATGAATGTTATATTTGATGAGATTATATTTTAGGAGGGAGGAGGAATAACTTGTTTTTCTTCTTTGAACTCAATAGGTTATAATACTTGGTAAGATCTTATTGGAATCTAAGACGTCTGAATTTTAAAGACTTTGGTTACTGAAATATCAGCTCTTTTCTTTCGACACAGTATGACAACTAGAGTTTATTATCACTGGAAATATTTGCTTCAGTAAAAATAATACAAGAAATAATGTTTTTGCACGGCAAGAAATTCAGTAATTCACTGTTGGATGTCTATT